GCACAGGCCAAAGGAGAGACGCCCATCTCTGTCATGGGAGAGGTAGACATACAAACACACACATGCATGCATACTGTCAAACAGACAGTCATGCAGTGATTTAACTTTGTGTTTGTTGTTTCAGTTCGCCTGTCTCAACAGAAGTCAAAGGTCAATGGATCCTGATAAAGGTATGTACAGAAACGCACACAGAGACACCTGTCTGATAAATCAGAACATGAAAACTCTAGCAACCACCCAAACACTGTAGCATCAGGAAATCTCATTGATCGTGTTGGTGTGTGAATGTGTGTAGATGAGGAGGATGAGGAGGAGGACGATGAGACAGATGAGGATCAGGACATGGCCGTTCCTGTGGTTGTGGGGGAGGAGTCACTGGAGCCGCCCTCCAAACTCGCCCGAACGGAGCTCTACAACAGCAACACACCGAACTAACTTCAGCCTCTCGGACTGAAGTTCATTCACACTGACACTGTCAGTCTGTGCAAACAAGGATTCTGTATGCTGAGCTCATTTCTCTGGGAGCCAGTTTGGGATCGAAATACAATCTTCAGTTTTGTTAATTATTAGGGGAAGTTCAGTTTCAGTTCATTTCCTGGAAACACAGAGAAACTGAGCGATCGTTTGAGTTTCCTGAGGTGAATCAGCCCTCAGAGCTGCTGTATGATCTAACGAAGCTTTTCTAGAAAACGGTAACATTCATATGCCTTAAGTAAGTGCACAAACACACACACACACATTTTCTTTGCCTTCCCTTTGCAAATCAAAGCTGCCATGTGTGTCGTGTCTCGACTCTTAAAGTTACAGTTCACCCAAAATTAAAAGCATTCGCCTTCAAGTCATTCCAAAGTCATCTATCTCCCAAAAAAAAGAAGAAAGAAAGTTATATAATGACGAGAGGGTGAATAAATAAAGATGGACATTTCATTTTTGGGCAAACTGTCGCTTTAAGAGTCCTGTTTTGATGAACCTCCACCTGCTCCATGCTGCCATAGAAATCATTCTTTGCCAAAGCCAATCATACGTCACCTAGTCCTGTTCCTCATTAATATTCATGAGTGGTCATTTAAGGTGTAGCTAAAAACTACAGCAGCAGATTTTGCCTTTCACAGCTGTAACACCATGTCCTTTCATGCTTTTGACTTGTTCTTTAAATAATAATGAAAATTATATATACAATTGTTGTGCTTTAATCAGCTGTTTATCTTTGATGTTTTATGATTTGAGTCTGATGCTAACGGCTCAAACGTGCCTTCAGAGGATTATTCAATCTAGAGATCCATAAACGTATAAATAAATGTCAAAAACAATCATGAGAATGCTTTTTTTAATTTATTTTTTTTTAAAATATGAAATCTCATCAGGCCTCATTGTAAAACACAAGCAGAATCAATTTAGTGTAAATTGTAAAACCATTTTCAGTTATCAAGTTTGGTTGACATGAATGAGATTCAATGTTTAATATTAAATGAAAGCATCTTGATTCATCTGTCATTTTTCCTCATTTCACACGAATCATTCGTTCTACATCCACACAAATGTAGCCGAGCACAAATGATTCTTTTCTAACAAACACTGAACACATTTATTAGTGAAGAGTACAGAGATGTTTTGTGATTGGACGCTTGGGTGCAGTTCATGAATATTCCGTATCTAATTATGGTGGTTTTGACAGCCAATCAGCAGCTAGTGTGTAACTCTCCAGTGGTTATAGAGCCAAATCTAATGTGTGGAACAATTCTGCAGCAGTTTTAATGAAAAAAAAAAAGAAGATATGCTAGTGATGATTATGAATACTAATGTAAGAGTTTAGCACAGGTTTATATTGTTTTTGAATATATATATATATATAT